ATATTTCGGAAAAATATTAAGATTTATGCGAGCTGGACCGATTTAAAAAAAAACCTCCAAAAATGGAGTTTTTTTATGAATACAAATAGTTTCTTAAAGAACTTTTTGAAAAAAGTCTCCTCAGATGACGAAACAAATGAGGCTAAAAAAAGTCTGCATAAAAATATTTAAAAATCGTTTCCACGGAATCGTGATAATGAGATTTTTGATGCTGTTTTTTTTTAGTTTTTGCAAAGATTGATTTACGAAAAACTTAAATAACTGGGCCAAAACTGTTCTGATTTAGATTTATGGGATCTCTGTAGAAAGGTATTTCCCATTATTTTTATTTATGTGCAAAAAAAATCATTCGTGAGCATTTTTTTTTCAAATGCCATCTTAATTCAACTTTGAGTGATATTCGTTCATCATACCTTTTTTTCATCTTTTGAATGAGCAAAGAAATAAAAAGGGTGAGAAAATACCTTTCCCCTGATGCCTCACAAGTCTAAATCGGAAGAGGTTAGTTCAGTTATTCAAGTTTTTCTTATACCAATCTTTGAAAAAAGTTAAAAAACAGCATCAAAAATCCCATTATTCCGTTCAAATTTTCTTTTATTTTTTAAAAGTATTTTTATGTAAATTTGTTAAGCTAAACCGTTTTGTCATTTGAGGGGATTCAAAAAACATCTTTAAGAAACTTTTTTTATTCATAAAAAACTTCATTTTTTTGAGTATTTTCAAATCGGTCCAGCTCGCTTAAATCTTAATATTTTTCAATATTTTGGTGGACGTCTTAAAATATAATATATTTTATACTTCCAATGGAAAAACAGTACCGATTTTTGTTTGTATGGGGAGTGATGCAGTCTTATATACATATGTACATATGTATAATAAAAGAGTCGTTTTCAAAAAAATATAAAATAGTTATCTACATTCATAGATATGTATGTACTGATCTATAAACGCAAGGGATTGCATACTTGTAAAAATACTTATAACAGCATTAGCCAACCATTTTAAGAAAATTCCGTTTAGAGAATTCTCAAAATATCTAAACACAATTGGGTTTTTCAAATTGTAATAACCTAATACATTTATAAATAACCTTCAAAAACTTATGTCTAAAGCACTACAAACGACCGCCACGGTCATCAATCGCCATTTTGTTTAGTTTGTGCAGAAATTAGTGGAATGGTAACTTGCAAACGATGATCATCGATCGATAACGCTGAGAAAGGATTAAAACAAAAAAAAAACAGATGTTAGTACATGTATAATATATAAGTGTAGGATTCTTTGTTAGTTTTTAGTTGTGCATTAGGGTGATCCAAGAAAAGAGTAAGTTTGAATTTTAAGGCTCTCACCGCCTAGAATTTTTCTATACCGAAAAAAAAATGTCCGGGTTTATTTTTTTTAAATCAAAAAATATTTAGTGGTCGCCCAAAGCGTTTAAAATTTTCCAGGATTTTAATATGGGGGAAAAAACAAATTTTCGCAGAAATAGTACAGAATTCTTGAAAGCCCATATTTTTCAATCGGAAAACTCGTGTTTTCTTCAGGAAACTTCATGTAGTAATATGGTATAGAATTCTTGGAAAATACTACGAAAATTAATAATATCGAACGATTTGTTTAACCACTATATTAGGTGTAATTTATTTCAATATATCTTGACATACTGAAACTATGCGAGCACAGGCGAATTTAAATTTTTTTAAAAACCATTTCGATTGATACACCGATTGTAATACTTCATTAAAATTATTGAAAAGTTTAAATTTAACTTTCTGAACAATTGGCAACCTTTTTAAACCTCCTTCGAATTTGAACTTTCAAATATGTGTAAACCCTGCTATGCATTTGTAGCTTAGAAATGAAGCCCTTTCAAGACTTTCGATTGATACCTATATTGTAATAACTCATTTAACTTATAATATAATTGTACATATTTGAATTTAGTTTTAAAAGAGGTGTTAGCCCTCTTCAAACACCTCAGAAGATTCAACATGTTCAAGCTGAACATTACTAAACACTCTTACGTTTGACACTGTAATTTGAGTATAATTAATTTAAGTTCGACTTTTAAAACAGCTTGCCCTCTCCAAAATATTTTCCAACTAAAACCTTATTAAACCTCTTTGGTCTGACACCCATTGTGTGATACATATTCCAATTATCTAATCCCCTTAATTCAAGTAGAATTTGATTTTTCAAACAGGTGGCAATAGTCCTCCATATAATTAAGAGCTAAAACCCTTTTCAAAAACATTTCGATTGACACCCATATTGCAGCAATTCATTTAATTTATTTGAATTTAATTTTTAAACGGGTGGAAACCATAGTAAAATGCCTCAATAATATTCTAAATGTTGAAACAAAAGGTTTCTTAACAATTTTTCGTTTGACACGCATATTTTAATTTTTCAAATTCATAATTATTAATTTAAATTTTACTTCAAACAGGTGGCAGCCCTTTTCAAATTATTTTCAAAACACAACTTTTTCATTTATATGAGAGGTGCCACGCCCCCTTGTATACTCGAGATTATATCTATCCTGTATTTTAAGTTGAGCTAAATGACATCAGTGTACTAAATTTCATGATGATCGGTTGAGTAATTAAGGCATGAGAGCGTAACAAATAAACAAACTCACTTTCGCATTTTTAAAATCAAGTATTAAGGATTAAGAATTAAGGATTAGTAAGGATTTTTTAATATTAACTATTTTCTATAGGTCCTCCAAAAACCCCAAAAAAACGCGATGTCGTGACCCATCGTTAGTATTAAAAAAATTTAAAGTAAACAATTGGGTATTATTACCAACAGTCCTCTGAAGAGAAACAGAGTTTTTCGAGATTGATTTGATTGAATTTTAAGAATTCTATACCAGTTTCATGAAAAACTGTTTGTTTCTATATAAAATATACATTCGTTCTTTACTTTTTTTAACACGCATTTTTGTACCACCCTGTTGCACATACTCACGAACTTCGAAATTTGTAGTTAGATTTGACTTTGACGAACATCAAAGTTATTTCTTTGCACTTTACTTACTATTATCCAATATGTATTCTAAATCATCCGGCGATTGTATAGTTGCAAAATCACAATTTGTAGACTCTTTTAGTATAATGCAGATTTCTTTGGAAGCTTTCATGAAAAATAGTGGCACAGAACTATTTGCCAACTCCTTATTCACCGCGCCCATGCCGCGCGCAGCTGTGAAATCGAGTTCTGCGTAGGTGGAAAATTTCGTTCAACATTCATCTTTTTTGTTTAGATCAAAACTCTATGAATATTGCTTACCATGCATATTAGCGCAATCCAGCACCACTGGTGCAATGCCATGCATCGCCACAGCCTTTGAAATGCCAGTGCGTACCCACTCGATTGCTGGAAAGTAGAGTGAGCTGTGTATCGGGCGCATGAGAATATACTCAATACCGTTAGTGGTCTGAAATAGTTAGAATGAAAGTTTACATTTCGCGAATACAGTATTCTTTAAGGCTACGTTACTCGTAATTTGGAGACACTAAGTGCTGGACGGGCAGCGCGATACACCAGATATGCCACATCTACCCCAACGCCCAACAGTAAACCGATCTCGACACCAATGGCTAAGCTCACAACGAATGTTATGGCACCGGGCAGCAATTCGCGACGACTGCAGCGCCACAAAGGTTTGATGACCTGTTGGGAAAAGAATAAAACAGCATTAGAGATATTTGGCTTTAACTAGAAAAATGCTGCGAAAACCTTAAAAACTGATAAGTTTTTGAGAACTTTTAAAATTCATGTGAAAAGTATATTCAAGCTTTGATTTTTTTTTTTTCAGTTTTTATTTAAGTCGAAGGACTCCCAACGAGCCCGCGTCAATGTCCATCACCGGAAAAGAGCCTTCTCCAAAGCTATAAGTCGGTTATCCCCCGGTGCATGTTAAATACGCGATTGGCTCGTACTCAGTCCCACGTTCTGCCTGCTAATACGTCATAGAAACCTCTCTTGGTTTCCGAGAAACGCCCGGTTTCCAAACAGTCTATTTCACCCCACTCACCTCAAATTCGATCATAAATATCACCGCTGATATGATAACCGCGCTCAATGCAGCTTTTGGAATGTATTGGAAGTAAGGCGCCAGCAAACCAAGCGCCAATAGCACCAACGCACTAGTATAGAAACCACCAATGGGTGTACGCACGCCACTCGCATGATTTACAGCGCTGCGTGAAAAAGAACCCGTCACCGGCATTGAAGAGAAGAACGAACCAATCACATTGGAGAGCGAAAGCGCAATCAATTCGCGAGTAGGACTTATGCCAGCGCTGCTGAAAGCTTTCGATATGGCAACATTACCCAGCACGGCGATTATGGGCAATATAATCATCGAGGGACCAAGTTCTTTGAACTGTGAAGAAAAAAATTAAAAATATGTATTTCAGTACTTTAAAGCAAGCGCTTGTTGTTTTAGTATAGTCACTTACCATATCCACATAGTCCTGTTCGATTGCAGTACCATTTGCTGCCTCTATTGTTGTGTGGAATTTGGGCAGCCCGACATCTGGAAAACCACTCTTCACTTTGCCTGTCAATACGAAGACACAAGACTCGCGTGTTTCACATGTATTATATGCTAAAACGCTGGCTATGAGCACAATCAGCGCATTTCGTCCAGTCGCAATTACCCACATTGTGCCGCTTAGTATGCGACGGCCGGGGATTTTAACATCTTTTAGTTTCTGAAAATAAGGATTAACTGTATGTCCAAATTTTTTTCAAAGCATTAGCCCTGTACAGGATTTACAGGAAAATATGTTTTAGCCAATAATAAGCCTCATTGGAGTTGGCAACCGCGAGCGACTTCCTGCAAATCGTGAAGCACCTGGAACAGACTTCGCTAGTCCCCTGTACCCGCCACTGCAAAGAGCTTGCAGTTAATTGGCTGCTCGACTATGTGATGCCAAAGTCAAGCGGCAACCAGAGATCGCTAACGGTGCACACAAAATGAATCTGAGAATATATGACTTTTCGGTTACGTCAAAATATGTTCAACTTAGATTTAAATAGGCAGCAGGTCACAGTGATGGATCAGAAAACTGTAAGGCAGTTGAGTTGGCTAGGTGCCTGTGAATTTGGCTCAGATCGGCGTACCTACGGACGAGCTTGGACAGAGAGGACTTACGTGAGTGCATTTTGCTGGTTCTGTGACTGCACGAAAACCCGCAACTCTCGATTTTCCGCTTGAAATTTAGTCGGTGAGACGAATACTATGTCTGAACATTTTCCCATCTTTTTTGAGATGCGGTGGAATCATTGCAAAAATTTCTCCTCAGCTGTGTTGGCTTTGCCAGAAACTGGGGTCTAAAGATCTTGGCACGAACTTCCCTTACAGCCGAGAAGAGGGGCTTGTTTGAGTTGCAATCACAACCGCACTGTTGTGCGAATTATTAAAGTATCACGTTCGGTGTGAATTTCTAGCAACGTGTTGTCATTTGGGCGGCAGTAATGCCGCTTTTATTACGTGCCTCGAACAGGCCCGAGATATCGGACGCATGGGAAACTAAGTGCTCGGCACCCATATTGGTACCACTAAATACCTGGCCACATTATTCAGACCTAACTTAGACGGAATCAGATATACATATATATTTTTCCTCACTAATCAAAGTTGTGTGCCTTCATGCTGATATATGTATTTACGTACAACTGGAGGAAGCTAGAGCTTGTCCCGTTCAAAAATTTTTCCTCATGAGGAACTATTTCTAAAAGGGTCATAGTCGGAAGTTGCTATTGCTAGCCGACGGTCGAGAAAGTCATCTGCGAGTATCATTTTGATATTTCATACCCCAATAATGGAGTCTATCTTGTCATACCTACGATTTTACGGCGTCTCCGAACGAAAAGTAGTTTGTTTTGAAAGTTTTTGTCCGGCAGAGTTATGTTCGGAGGAGACAATTTTATCAATAAAACTGTTCTATCATTTAAATACTGCGCAAACCAGACAAAGGAATCTGGGCCCGCAGAACGAAGCCTTAACTAAATACTTCGAAAGTATTCTGTGTTTGGTTTAATAACTCTATGCGGTCTAGCACACTCTATATTCTGCTTACAATAAAGTAAATTCAAATTAAAACTAAAACATTCTGGAGTTCAAATTCTACAATTTACTTACCCTCAGCAGTAGCAAGACGGTAATAGCAATTATGCCTAACGTAAAATCGCCATAGCGTATTTTGTCTAAATTCATAAAGACGGACTTCATTGTATTTAAAAATCCGGAACCACCGCCACCACCACGAATGCCCAGTAGGCCCTAAAAATTAAAAGAGAGCCTTAGTAAAAATATTGCCACATCTCAAAAGGGATGAAAACTTCTCCACCATACATGTTTGTATGTACGCTAGGGTGCATCACCAAAAAAAGGCGCAGTTTTTTCCAACATAATTATAAAATGTATTCTATTTTAAGAAATCTGCTGAAATATTTCGAAAAAATATTAGGAATTATGTGAAAATACCTCAAAAAAATTTATAAATCAAATTAATTTTTTTAAATATATTTTCCAAAAAAATCAACTCAGATGACATAATAGTTTAAACTCAAAAGGTCTGCATAAAAATCGTAGAACATTTTACCAACGGAATGGAGATAATAAGATTTTTGGAGTGATGTTCAAATCGGACCAACTCACTTAAGTCTTAATGTTTTCCCGAAATATCTTGGCGAAGGTCTTAAAATATAATACATTTTATAATTCCGATGGAAAAATAGTACAGATTTGATATTTTATGTTATTTTTGTATGCACCCTAATGTACGTATGTACTTACTTTCAGCTGGGAGGTGCCAATAATAACCGCCGTTGCTGAGGTGAAACCGACGGTAACTGGCAGTGAAATTAAATCAACCAGTGCGCCTACAAGAAAATATGAAATTGAGAGTTGTCACATAATTCATAAAAAACCATACACACACCTAAGCGCAGCACAGCCATTAGAAGCTCAACAATTCCAGAGATCAAGCACAGCAATATCGCATAAGCTGGACCTGAATTCAACCCGAAACTTGTATGCCGGCTAGTCATTAGCGCCAGCAAAGCTGTGGGACCGATGGTGACTTGTCGACAGCTGCCCAAGAAGGCATACACAATGCCGCCAATAAATGCAGAATAGAGTCCATACTAAAAATATTGAAATTAAATTTCTATGCATTAGATAGTCGTGCGTATTTAGGTAACACTCGCAGCGCTCACTTGTGGCTCCAGCCCAGCGAGCGTCGCATAGGCCAAACCCTGTGGTAACACTGTTAGACCCACTGTAATGCCTGCAATCATATCAGCCACGGCATCCTGCGTCGTATAGCCGTGTAACCATTTGATGCCCGGTAGCAGTCGGTAAGCGAAATCGATCGGTCGCATGACTCAATAAAACTGAAATAAAAAATTGTTAGGTAATGAAAACATTTTTTTAACAACAATTTTATTCACATTTATTCACATAGTTACAAATAATTTGTTAATAATAGATAGATACTTAATTACAGGAGGCCATATATGTATGTATGTACATTAGTTTGCACCACAAAAAAAGTAACGATTTTCCCGAAGGAATTATTTATTATATTTAAGACTACCGCCAAAATATTTCGGAAAATTTTTTAAGATTAACGAGAGCTAGGCCGATTTGAAAATAATTCCCAAAAACTCCATTATTTTAATTTTTAAACATTTTTAGAGTTTTAAGCTTAAACTCTTCTTTCTATCAGCTCATTAATTTTTTATCAGGCCGTTTTTTATATTTTCAAAAATAAATCGATTTTTAAGGTATTTTGAGATACGTCCTGCTCGTTTAAGTCTTAATATTTTACCGAAATATTTAAGCGTAAGTCTTAAAATGGAATACATTTTATATTTCAAATGGAAACACGCATGGACAGTCCCGATATTTTGTTTATGGGGAGTGATGCACCGTAATGTACATACATACATATATTCTGCGTGCACAGAAATTTAATACTATTTTTAAATGATCATCTCTGTAATTTTCCTCAAGTGCGCATGTTGAGCTGCTGAGCTCCAATTATTTTTTTTAGCGGCTTTGAATGGAATAAAATTCTGAAACTGTCTCCATTGTATGACAATAATATGTGTTTATCCATTGTTGTATATTTTACTGCAGTAATTTTCGCTTATTAAATTCTATTTATATTGTTCCATTCAATAGAAGTTAACATACATACATATGTACAAACATACGTAGTTATTATTGTAACAACAGTTTCATCTGAAAACTCGTTTATGCACACCAGTTTAGATTTCTACCGATATAAAAAAAGATGTCGCTAGAAGGCCTGGTCAATACCCTCTTACCGGGATGCGTAAATTCAAGGTTCCAACATACTTGCTAGATATGATCCGGGACTACCTCAGAGACCGTTGGCTTGTGTACGACGCAACACAAGGTCAGAGAAGGATACGTATAATCGGCGAAGCGGCACAGGTGTCTGTACTTGGCCCGGACCTCTGGAACGCCACGTATGACAGTCTGTTGCGCACGGAAATGCCGGAGAGCGCCTTCCTTCTCGCTTTCGCGGACGACGTGGCCGCCGTCATAACAGCAAGAAACGTCCAGCTAGCACAGCTCAAGCTAGGCCAGGTCATGCGTAGCGTCAGTGGATGGATGAGCGATGACGGTCTGCAATTGGCTACAGCCAAAACAGAGATCGTGCTACTCACCAGGAAACGGATCCCAACAATTATAAACAAGATGGTCGGACCTCAACTCGTGACAACTTCTAGGTCTAAAAAATACCTAGTGGTGAAGCTTGACGGCAAACTCACATTCTGGGAACACATCCATGGAGTATGTGAAAAAGCTGCGCAGAGCACGGTGGCTCTAAGCCGGCTGATGGCGAACGTGGGCGGCCCTAACCCATGCCGCAGGAAACTTCTGATGACAGCAGTCCAGTCGGTGTTCCTGTACGAGGCAGAACTATGGGCCGACACATGGAAAACCAAAAAATACCGGATTCAAATGTTTTCAGTCCAGCGCAGAGGGGCACTACGCATTGCTTCTGCATACCGTACGGTGTCCGCGGACGCGGTTCTAGTTATTTCTGGCGTCATGCGAATTGAGCTACTTGCTTACGAGCGAAAAGATATTTACAATCTCAGTGCCGAGATAGGTCGAGCAGCTGCTGCGGCAAGGGCGCGCGAGCAACTAATCCAACAGTGGCAACAAACCTGGAATGCGAGCCCAAAAGGTCAAACATGGTTGAACAGACCGCATGGGGAAGTCGATTTCTACCTGACGCAATTCCTCACCGGCCATGGTTGCTTCCGAGAATATCTTCATAGAAAGGAAATGGTGGACTCACCGTTCTGTCACTTCTATGGAAACGTCGAAGATAACGTGCACCATACAGTCTTCACTTGCGAACACTTCTTGATTTCGCGCAGAATGTTGGAAGAAAGATACGGAGACATAACTCCGAACAACATAATTTGGGTAATGAGCTCCATGCAGATAAGTGGGAAGCAGTTGCAATATATACGTGAAATTCGGAGAGAACGAGAGGACGGATGTCTACTGAGGACACTCAAATGAAACGCCCCTACAAAAGATCAGCCCCGAGGCTCTAGCAGCGCGTTGCTGCATCTGAAGACATGCAGAATTGCGGTGGCAGAAGCGGGATTCTTGCACGGGCGGTGGGAGTTTGGGTTTAAGTGGGTAGCCCAACACTCTTCGGTGGTTTTATGAAAAAATCATTTTGGTTAAAAAATATAATTCTTAAGATTTTTTATGAAAAGAATCATGTATGAAAAATTACTTGTTAGAAAAATAATATGTATCAAAATTGTCAAAATTTACCATGCATCAAAAAGAATAATTTTATTTTAGAATACATTATTTTTGGACAAAAAAATGTTTTGGAAAGAAATAGTTTTTATAGGAACAAATTATGAGTTTGATTCAAAATCTTTTAGAAAGAAAAATTTGTTTAAGTTGAAATTAATGAACATTTTTAGAAAGTTGTTGTTTTTTTTAACTAAAAAAATAAAAAAAAATCACGATTTGAATTTAAAATTTTGATTTATCCCCGATTTATCGCTGGTCCTAGGAGATTTAAGCAGTTTTCGCTATAATAACAGCAGAGCTAGCCTACGCGGAAACGGGAATCAACTCAAAAGCAAACTTATACGTACGTAGACGGCCTTTGCAGTCGGGAAGCCATTGATAGGCTGCAGAAAAATTATGTGCGAAAGCAGCCAAACTAACCATACTCGCTTCTTAATAAGACGGTTATAAAGGAAAGATTGCAGAGTTGCTTCCGGATTGTTAACGGGGCATATCCTGGGGGCTGCCCATGTACTAAGAATGGGTATCAATAACGTGGACAGATGCAGGAAGTGACACGAGCGGAAGACCAGTTAAACCTTATATCATCTTCTATTGCGAAGCCCGCACTGTTAAAAACACAACTAAAATGCTTAGGAGCCTATTAATTCGAGAACTTAGAGGATATCCCAAAAGTAGATCAGAAATTCGCAAAAAGCGTTGACATCCTTTGTGATGTCTACTTTGACGCCTAAAATCGAACTCTAATTGACAACGCTAAGGACCTACCGATCTATGTGTGTACCACAACACCGGCCAGATTAACCTTAACTAAACGAGTACACTTTTCAACTCGGTTTGAGAAGGTGATTTTGCATGTGGCTTGAATTTACTGATGTTGATTATAACTGGGTAGACATAATGCACAAACGTAGCATGAGATGCACATCAAAGTTAATTAAAAACACATTATCTCTATAAAAGTACAATAGACAATCGTCATACGGCCAGACATTTATTTTGCATAATTTGTTGATAACAATATAGAAAATGATAAAAAGAATTAATAGACACTAGCTATTACTAGTCAACAACTATTAAACTACAATTTTTGCAGGACAATGAGTCAAAACACTTGTACTGTAAAAAGCTAATTAAAGTAGGAAGTAAAGAACTACAAAGGAAGTTACAAGCGTTAGCCAGATATATCTTCCACTGATTACGTATTACCGTGACAGTCAGTATCCCACACTGGAATTACTGGGGCCGTTGTTTCAGCATCTAATACTGTATATATTAACAACCCCCATCTTGAGACGTGCTCAAGCCGAGAGACTCCTTAGTCCTGGATAACATACTGTTGTGACGCCGTCAGTGAGCACATCACGCCCATAGCTATTTTTACCCAACAAGGTGCATACATGGCATTAAAAAGCTCACCCGAGGAACGCAACTACTTCGCCTTTCCACCCATCGCCAACTTTCATCCCACTCCAACTCCTGTCTGAAGACTAACCAGCAATTCTTGGCCCCTCACAATATCTGTTCTCTGTGTCAGATTAGAATATACCGTAATGTGACTTCATATTGCATATATTGGCTGGTGACACTTTCGGTTTGGTTGTGGCCTGTGCACCATACGCGAGTGGACAACCCTCGTCGCAGAGCTTTGTAGCCGTAATCGTCACCTAGCAGCATTCCCACAGCAGCAAGGTAGGCAAAATCTGCATCGGAATAAAACCTCCCGAAACAGACGAATATATTACCATTTAACTGCAACGAGCTGCAGAGTAAGATCGTGAAGACAGATTCGTGTGTCGGCCGCAATTCCAAAAACAGATTTGGAACGTAAGCGAGACAAAACGGTGGCTTGGGGTTCTTCACAAATCACACCGTCTCATCGATGCAGATATCACCTGTAGAGATATCACACCAGAATGTCACGGTATTTCCATACGGTCATGCGAGTCCGAAATATTAACCGATTAAAATCCCCCTGCCTCTCGCGCTACCTAGAAGGATTTCATCCTGGCATTGATGCGTTATTTAGAAGAAAAAAGCTTTTTTTTTCTCTGGTGGCTTTAGGAGGCATCACGTTTTTTGGCAGACAACCAAAGTATCAGCGGTGACACGATTTGGCACAGCAGGTAAATGATTCGACGATCTACAGCTTCGCGGAAGTTAGCAAGAGTACCTTCACCACCCTCCTCATACTAAGCGAGTTTCTAATTGACGAACGTCAGTTTTCCAAGGCAATCACTGTTGCTCGCTTCTTACCCACCGGACGTTAGGCAGAAATCCGTTCTAATTCCCGTCCAAAAATGCTGCACTGGCAAACGGGCATGGCCAAGTCTGACAGATCGATCCCGGAGATTCGAAGGCTTGGCAACTGGTAGAGAAACGCAAGCAGAAGAAATGGGACGATTCTACTATAGCCTAGAATCTAGTCTGCATCATTCAATGGATATGGTCAAGCGTCGAGTGATAAAAAGGCTGTATAGACCAGAGACCAAAAATTTTTCAAAAAAATAAATACTGGACATTTTCAAGGAAATTTATGAATAAAATTTTAACAAGGACATTTTCTTTACATATTCGTTCTTAAGTACCTAAAAATTTAATCCATTTTAATGCTACAGAATTGTCTCCCTTGTTTGATACTCTAGTGTTATTGCACTGAATGTTTTAAGTAATTTTCTAGTAGTAACTAGAAATTTCAAAATCCTTATAAAAAATAATCAAGACGCCAGAGAGAAAAACTAAAAACGCAGAATTTATTGATTTTTGCTCGTGTCTAAAATTGACTGACGCACGGTGCTGTCGAAAATATTTTAAATCGGGGAAAAACGACCTTGCTTATCACGCAGTTTACAGAATGGTGAAACCACCAAATTTAATACGAGCGTCCAGTACATAAACTTGGGCTTCGTCCGAACTTATACTTTTTTAAAGTTTTTTTTGTATTTTTCGCGCTTTAAAATTCTGTTTAGTAAGGAAAAAGTTTTACTTAATCACAATTTTCACATACATAATTGAATACTCTTTCAATAAAAAAAAAAAAAATTCTTTACTCACATTCGACAGTTAACTTTAAATTTTTGTAATGAAAATCTATAGCTAACTGCCGAATGTGAGTTAACTCGTCCCTGTGAAAACGGCACTTATTGATTGTACACTTGCTAGGCACTTTTAATAAGAAAACAAGAATTTTTTCGTATTGTAACGAAACGACTTGCAGCACCGAAGTAGAACTACTAACTTAGTGAAATTTTGAGGTAAAGTATCTTATCTTGATATTCAAACACATATAGTATACATATTACAATCGTAGCATTTCAGCTGAATTGTTTGTTTATTTTTTGCTATTCCCTTTGAAATGCATCCTTTTAAGGTATTTTTGAATTCATCACAAATGGGTACACAAATATTTAACCAGTTGTCACTTGCCAGTGAAATTTCTTTATGAATACGAATTTCTTCCGTACACATTTTAACATCTAATTTTTCGTTTAAATTAGTATGCACAGCATTTTTTCTGTAGTAGCGCTAGTACAAAAGCAAGCATTCATAATTTTTTACGATTAAGAAAGGCGATATTTGTTTATTCCTTATATTTGTTTACGATTACAATTTGCACAAGTGTTTGCCACTACATAATTTGTTTAACTACTGTTTACAATTTTTAGGTGAAGGCTTTGATATGTATTTCTTTATATTTGTTTGTTTGCCTGTTGCTCATTGCCATCAATTTTAGCGCAACTGGGTTTTATAGCACTTTCTTTAGCTGTTTACTTTCTGAAATAATTAATCAATATTTAATAGGCACAAATTCTTTATGGCACTTAATTTTTAGGTAACGAGGCATTTACGCATTTCCATGAATACCCATAGTATTTTTTTTTTGTCTACCAGCGTATATGTATGTATGTATATATATCAAAATATGTACATGTTTATTAAAATTATGTAAAATGCGTTATACCCAACACTTTTAGCCCCTTTAGCGAGCTCGAAATTTAGAACGTCCGTCAACGTTTAAATGAAATCAAAAACTGATCGACCTTAAACACTGAGCGAACACAGTATGCCGGCAACCGGCTCAAGCCTCGCCAACTAAATAGTACGTTATCAACGAAAGTATCGAATCGATTGAATTATGTATGTACAGTGGGACATATCTACTAAATACTACATATAATTACAAGGCCACCCCTTTTGGTGGGTCAGTCTTATAAAACATAGATGATTTTCGTTGCATTCTACATCATACACTCAGGGCTCACTAAAGTCTATAGCGGCTGCAATTTTTCCTCTGTCTTGGAGTAAGCGGCTCGCTATATAGACGTGTATCCGGTTAAGAATCCACCCCCTCCCACGTAAAAAACCCCTTCCAATGGAAAGCAAACTATGGCCTCATCTCATCCGAGATTAAGCTACTTGGCTGTGTCCAGATCGAAAAACGGGAAACCAAATCGATCATGTTGTGATAGACGGAAGGCACGCTCTCAGTGTTTTAGACGTACGTACACTCTGAGGTCCAAACATGGACTTGGATCACTTTCTTGCGGCAGCCAAGATAGAAACCGCCTCTGTCTAGCAAAAAATGTGCGTCCAACAATGCGAGGAAAGCTCAACGTCGAATAGCTGCAATCACAACCGACGCCCAAAGCATTCGCCACTCGCCTTTTCTCAAAGAGCACAACAATCCGACATTGCACAGGAACCACATCCTAGTCGGACTTGGTTGCTTCCAAAATATACTTATAGCATCGCACGGTTCTTTTTCCACTTGGAAGTAATTCTAAAAACATGTCTGTCATGAAGTCTTTAATTCCCTTTTACGAAGGCGTGCAACACAGCAAGAACGGTAGTTTAAGACGGAAATTTTGCATGAAGTTGTTACTGTTGGTTAGGAGAGCTTTGTAACGTATTTATTCTTGTTCGAATTTATTTGCCGAAGTCAAAGCATTACAAAATGCTGACTTTAGCAGTAAAGTTTTCACGACTTAAAGATTTTTAGTCTTCCATAGTACTGAAAAAGAATGAATGTAGCTATTTCTTCATGTAGATTTTTTCTAATTTTACCTACAGAATTTAAATGTGCTTCGAAATTCTTGTGAAAAAACCAATGCCATGCGGAATTGTTATAAGGAGCTGAAGAGTGAGACATATTTGCCGCAAAAACGCGAGTGCGAAGAGCATAAAATGCTGGCCGACAGGAAAAACACCCGCAAATTTTTTGCTGGGAGAGAGGCAACTTACGGAAGGTTTCAAGACTAGAATAAACTAATGTAAGAACTACCGTGGCGACCTAGTGACCGATGTCGAGAACGTGCTTTAGTTATATAGGGAACACTTTTCCATTACACTGAATAGTAGCAGCACTAAAATTGTGGAGAAGACAAACTCGAGCCCCAGTCAATGGTGACAAATATAGAAAAATAAAAGTGATCGTATTTTGTTGAAACTCTTTATTCCTACAGGAATTACTTCACGTTTATTTCAAAAATTCAATCGGTGTTTTTGTACCGGTTGCCTATTTTGAGAACTCCGGGTTTTTAGCACCGGTTACCAATTTTGCGAAAAGCGGAGTGGTCACGCCTATTTTATTGATTAGGGTTATTCAAAATATGAACTCGAGGTTTTCCTACCGGTTACCAATTTCGAAGAATGCGAATTCTGAGTCGGCCGATTATTTTAATTTAAAAAAATTATAGTATTTTGCGTAAAGATCTCCCTATATATCAGTTTTTTTCATAATAACCGTTATACGATAATTGATTGGTTATTTGGCCGATTTCGACTACATATTCTCTACTCATGAATATATCAAAATAGTGTATAAAGTGGGTTCCCAATTGAAGTGCGACAGGTACAAAAAATGCGATTTCATTTTTGAAATGACCATAATAAAAAAATAGGCGTGACTACTCCGCTTTTCTCAAAATTGGTAATCGGTACCACAAACCCGGAGTTTTCCAAACAGGTAAACGGTACAAAATCCTATTTCATGTTTGATATCAACGTGAAGTAAATAATACCTGCAGGGGTAAAATTTCAACAAATTACGACCTCTTGATTTTTTTTACATTTATCCATTTGTGCGTCACTGCGATGCGGTATTTGTCAATAGTTTTTAATTATTTAGTAATATTTTATGTCCAATTGAGAGATAGGACATTTACTTATTTTGATTAAAACATTTTTCTGAACAGCAAAGTACCTTTTTTCCGATGCGGATGTACTCAAAGGACGATAATCTACGTAAGTATGTTAATTATTTTGGCATTCCACTTCCTTTTTACGCCTACTGATCTGACCCACTGTGTCAGATTCGCTCTCGTTTTTCCCCCCGATTCCTTCTCGCATTGTGACTGTGATTTCTGTGTTCGTTGAAGTTAAATTAAAAATTTAGAGCGCACGCCAGAGTTTGACCTGCTTTGGCACGTTCAGTTGCTCTGTTCTCTTTTGCCGGTTTGCGATCACGTTTTGGGGATAAATCTACAGAGACAAACTAGATGAATGCGGTTTCCACATGAGATACGCCAAAATGAAAAAACAACTACACATACATATAATCAAGATCGATAGCTGGGATGTGAACTCACGTGCACATTTATACATACTACATACATACTAGGAATGTTAATCTTCGGCCTTTTTTAGGTCCCGAAAATCCCGGGATTCTTGGCAAATAAGAAACTACTTTTCTTGACCACTATTGGCTATATTTATTTTTTTTATTAAATAATTAATATTTTTTTATAAATGTCCAGCTCATTATACATATAACACCGTGTGATAGAAAATTTTACCCACAAAAGTCAATATATTTGCGTAACCATGAGCCAAATATTGTAAAATTGTGTTTTTAGTTTTTCACTTTGACGTCAGTAATTCAAAAATGATTTAAACATTTCAGTGAAATGTGCTTAGGGAAGAAGTATGGGTATCAAATTAAAGAGTAAATTCTGTAGAATTGAATCAGATTAAATGTTTTGGTGCATAAGGTCTGGTAAATATTGAAAATGTCCTTTTAAAATTGTATCCTTGAAATTTCGCAATATTTGTTTCGAATTTCGTTGTTCTAACATTATCAGCTTAAAAAATTACATAGTCTTCCTTGTGAATCCAAAAAAATTTGTATTTTTTTAGGTTCTAAAGAAATTTCCTCTTTCATTTGGTACCCACATTTTTATTCTACATTGCATTGAATATATCTTTGAAATTACAAAATCCTTTAAAATAAATCCTGACGTCAGAGAGAAAAAATAAAAACATGGGTTTTAAAGCCATTTATTTATTATTTATTTTATGGTAGGAGAGGTAGAAGCAATTTTTTCGATTTAAGTTGTTGAAAAGTAATGAATATCTAAATCCCGGGATTGTCATAACGTCATCCCAAAAATCCCGGGACCGTAAAAAGCGACAAAATTAACATCCCTAATACAGACATATGTACCATATGTACAGAAGTGCTACAATTAAACATTTGTAAACCTACTCCCATTTTTCCTTTTGTTATTTTATTCTTTATTTGCGCACCACTCAAAGCAGTATCAAAAGTGTTGAGAATTAATTGGAAATGAAATTGGAATTAATAAACCAATTGAAGTGATCAATATTTAGTAAAGTAAATACATATTATGGCGACATATGTACTTTCATAATTACGAGAGTTAATTAAAATTAGTGGAGTTTTAAATGAGACTACGGAAAAACGTGTTACATTATTTTAGCTCCATCTACGGTTGGGAACATTTGCCTCAGACTAGAAGGCAGGTATATCTCAATATATCTGCGAAATTTACGGCTAAGTTGGACAAAACGCCCCTTCACATATCTAAATCATACAGACCTATAAGCCTAGCTAGAATGAAAGATATAACGATTCTCCTTATGCTTTTAGACCCATATAGTTATGGACTAAGACGGAAAAGATCCTGCGCCAGATGGAATACCTAACAAGGCTTTGAAAACTGCAATTAGCGAATGGCCAGATTTATTTGTAAAAGTTTTTCAGACTTCGATCGCTCCCGGCTAATTCATCTCGACTAGGCGATAGCCATCAATCTATCCGATCTTGAACGCCGTGCGAAAGACTACCTTAACTCGATGAACTATCCTAACTTTGTACTAACTCAGCGCTTCAGACTAACTTCTCTCTTAACTCCATAGGTTAACTTTCTAATATTATTCAGAGAGATCGAGAGAGAGAGGAGAGAGACAGATTCTGAAAGTACTGTTCCATCAAGACAATGCACGGGTATACACGTGTTTAGTCACCATAAAACAAATCCATAACTTTGGCTACGAACTCCAACCCGATCCACCAAATTAAGTCAACAGCGACTATTTCTTCTTTCCAAAGCGAAAAAAAGAGCTGAGCGGTAAGAGATTTGCATCGAATAAGAGGCCTGGAATTAATATTTTGATCTAAAAGGAGATTATGTTGGAAATACAACTCTTTTTGCCGAAAAATATATCTTTTATTCACTGACTTTTCAAATTGCTATCGTAAATTCAGCAGTTGTTAACCTCGATCTGGTCTTCCCTGCAGAAAGCAAGTGTTTCAATATTTCAAAAAGGTTTACGGCGTTTTCTTTTCTACCGCAAAATGTGGCCTTCTCATTGCCCTTTCCTTAGTATTTGAGAGCACTCAGCACTGAGAAGGCAACATTTTTCTGTAGAAAAGAAAACGCCATAAATATTTGGAATACAAGGATTATGCTGGATTTCCACTAGGCATTAAATGACAAAAATGACAAATGACAAAGTTGGGCATTAAAAAATATTCGGGTCATTATATTAACAAAATTGTCATTAATTTCATTTCCACATGGCATTTTTTTAAATGGCATACATTTTTTGCAATTTCAATGCCTAGTGGAAATGCGGCATCAGTTAGAACTCACATCCCGAAGACTGGTAAGCCACGCACTATGAGAAGCAGTAGGTGCCTCTATGGTCGGATGTGGTAATTAAAAAAGTGGCTTTACCGGATAATCATCCGTTCGATTGTGGTTTGTTCTTCGCAATTAGGTCGCCAGATAAAAAAAAAAACACCTAAATCATAGCCTTGCAGTCATAGACTTAATTCCGTATAGCAACGTGGAGTTAAGCACAAATAAATATAGTGGCTATGGTGGCCAAACGCGCTTTAATAAACTTCACAGATTGGCTTTGCTTTCGATCAATGGATCTGGGTAGACTCTTCGAGAGCTCACCACAAGTGTATGTAGAACATGACATTGCTTGTGTTTGATTGGTAAACGTATGCACAAGGAAACTCACAACGACAAGAAGTGCTGCGTTCCATGACCTAAATCGGCATAGTGGATGAACTCTTACTGAAACCGCTATTCCCAAATACCGGGCACAAAGAACGAGGAAGCAACGCAAGGTGCTATTCACTTTTATCAACTTGAATAAGGCCGAATTGCAAGGTCGCGATTGGGATCTGAGAGATCATTTTATAGCAAGATCACCCTCAAGCCCTAGCTGCCGTCGCGTCATCGGGAAGGACGGTGCCAAGCAAAAGTGAAAGACACAGCGCTTTTTTTCCGTATGATCTCAGCCACCGAAGGCGGTATGAACGCGGAGGACCGTAGCTTTAAGAACCAGTATGCACTGTGGGTGCTGGCACCCCAAAATCACACAAGGGATCTTATTCGGCCAACCACGGACGGCATGGACAGTTTGTTGGACTTAGCTCCAACAAGAAAGCTTTAATAAGTAATGATTTATAAGTAATCAAGAAATATTATGACCAAGCCATTATGAATACTTAAGACAATTCTACATAGGTGCACGTAACCTATATTGTGCACTGAGGTGCTTCAAACGTAGGAGTTTTGTAGATTACACCTCGAAGATACTTTCAATACAATCTAGCAATACTCCATATGTTGCAACATCTTACGAAATACAAGTATTTACTATCAACTACAATGCGAGTACTTCAACACTTGACAAGTGTTTTTCTGATGAGGAAGCTATTGAAACGTTCTTTTTTATATCTACAAATAATTGCTCAATATACATACATACAAATCAGTCAATAGAACTGATGAATTTTAAGTTTGTGTAATAGTCTAAAGCTTTAAGCGCTTGCATGCTAAGAATACTTCAAAGTGTCTTTGACTACCCGCCTTATAGACGTTTATATAGGTACATAACAACTGGTGAGAGCAGCAATCACTCTAGCAGAAATACTACCTGTCTAGGAGGTGATAAAACCGTTTACCTAAGTGGTGTGCACTTATATTTGGTCTAGGCGACATCTTAGCGGTATGCTCAGGCGGAGAATTTTTCCTCCTAATCCAGGGCGCTTGCATCGGTAATGAAATAATGCTGATGATATAACGCTCTCATATTGAGAAAAAAAATTCGGTTTAAAGCCGGAAGTACGAGATGTCGCCAAGTTGTTCCCTTCACTTTGAGAGAAATTTCGTCGGTCATCGCTAGGTTATGTCAGGTTTGCTTAAGGCAACCACTTGTCAAGTGGCCCACTTAGACGGTGAGCGTTGGTCCATTGTATTAACCGCTAAGTTCAAGCAAGAATCGTTTCGTGCAGTGAAGAGGAGAAGTATCTTTTCTTAGCGGCATTGCTTCGAGGGTACCGCCGCTGGCCAGTTCATCATCCACACAGTTACCTGTGATGTCACTATGGTCTGATACCCTGGTATACCTTGATAGTATGTGCGTGGAGAAAGACCTATCTGGTGCTAGGCTATGTAGCCACGCAGTGATGAAGTCAAAGCCCTCGAGAATCCTTGAGTATCCAAACCCCGAGATAGTCAAGCAGCCAGTGCGCCTAAGTCTAACCGCCGCCCTTGCTGCAGCTGCTTTACCTGCGATATCGGCCGGCGTTATATTAAGCCCCCTTAATTCCAATGGGGGAAGCCCGTTGCACTCGTTCCTGCCCACAGGCTAAAGTAGCCTTTTCCATTGCATTCCACCAGACGAGGACTCCATTAAACGTAATGTGCTTAACTATTGTTTTCTACAGCCAGTATAAACCTTGGTAGAGGGGCCAAATCTCTCTTATCCATTACCTCGATATAAGGCCTCGACTTGACCATGTCAGAAAGCGACAGACAAATGCCCCCGAAACAGGAAGAAGTTGCATGGGGCACCCTATTCATATGTCCTGGTTAACAAATAGAGTTCCATTTTACAACAAGTCCGCAGTTAGCGGACCATCTAGTCATCAGGTTCATATATCCCTGAGTTAAGTCGTAGAAGGTATCCAAAAAGTTTCGCCTCAATATAAGTGCGGATGATCCGCATAGGCAATCGTCCTGCGCTCTTTACGCGCCAGCTCCAGAGAAAGAGCGAACGTTACTACTCTGGGCCGTACCCCTGCTTACCATACGCTGGACGGTGGCACCATTCTATACCACGAAATTTTAATCCAAGAGTACGCTGACTATAGTCCCCGGTAGTACATTGTTAAAGGTCGCCTCTATATCGAGAAAGGCACTCACGCTAAAGTTTTTAGGTAAGAAAGCTTCCTCAGTCGACCACTCACTTGCGCACAAGCCGGTATCCACCGAACTA